CCCCCCAGGCCCTGTGGGACTTGGGGGGGGGGCCCCCAACCAGCCCCACAGCCCCAACCAGCCCCGCAGCCATGGCCAATTTGCTTTTTCAAGAGCAAAACCAGCCCGGCGAGGCAGCAGGGCAGGCGATGCCACAGCACAGGCCGGCCGTGCCGGGGCAGCCCACGCTTTTGGCAGGGCCAGGGAGGGAAGAAAGGGAGGAAAAGGTGCAGGAAAGGATAATAAAGACTTTGGGACTGACACCCCAGCAGGAAGCCAATTAGGAGGCTCTTTTCCTCACCGTTACGCCAGCATCGCTGGGCTGAATGTCCTAAAGGGCCCTAATTAGCTTGAGCAGAGTTCCTTCTCCCGCCGGCTCAATCGGGAAGCTATCATCCGCCCCACGCTCCTCAATGGGGCTTTTTTTCTCCCCGCTTCATTCAGCGATTCAAAGGGGATATTTTCCCTTATTTATTTTTCTTATCTGTTTGTTTTTGTTGGGTTTGTGGGGTTTTTTTCTTTTTATTTTAAATTGGGCTCTTTCCCGCGAGATGGGTTTTGGTGCAAATATTTGGAGTGAAACAGGGCGCGGGGAGGGCAGGCTGGCAGATTTGGGGGGGGGAGGCACGTAAGAACAGAAGCAGAAAAGATTTTTCGGGGTTTATTTTGACTGCCTTGGTGGAGTGCAACGGTCGCTCGGCTCCCAGAAAACCAGGGGTACAGGAGGGGGTGGGTTTGGGGCAGTTAAAATTAGCCCAGGGAGGCAGCAGGGGGATCTGCGCTGAGCCCCGGGGAGGATGGAGGTCCTCCCATGGCCCGAAAGGAGAGGGGATTATTTTATCAGGGCAGGTGATGCTGCTCCAGGTGATGCGGGATCATCCCTCGCTCGCTCGGGTGCCGCCGTTTGAGCCCCATCTTTGGGGCTTTTCCCGCTGTCTGTGTGGTGAGGTTCATCCGACTGGGATGGGCAGCTGCGGTAAAGGAATCGTGGAGCTTTTTAATCCCAGTTTTCCCCCGACCCTGAGTTCTCTGCACTGCGGTGGGGCCCGATCCTGCGCAGGTGATGCCGGAGCGTGTTGCTGGGTATCGGCAGTGTGGTCCCAGCCATTGCCCCCGTGCCCTGCCCGGGTCCCTGGTGCAGCACTGGGGAGGGGATGGGGGTGAGGAGTGGGATCCTCGTCCGAAAGGTGAGATCATCTGCTCACTCTGCCCTTTCTTTAAAAAAAAAAAAGTAAAAAAAAAAATCCTTCCTTTCGCGGAGCCTTCACTTAGTCACCCCCTTTGTCGAGAGGAGCTTGGCAGGGGCTGGTGGAAAATAGCAAAACCTGTTTTCAAAAGGCAGCTTGAAAAGAGGGAGGGGGGGAGAAAAAACCCTGAATCCACAGAAAAAACCCTGAATCCACAGAAAAACCCAAGACATGGGGGGAAGCACCGTCCCTGGCTCGCAGCCCCTTCCACCACCCTGGAAGGTGAGAAATCCCGTTCCCGGAGCAGGGAAGCGCTGAGCAATTCCTCTCCTTGACTGCATCCCGAGGGAGTGAGCTGGGACAGCGAGGGGTCCCCGGCACTGCGGGGAGGGACCGTGCCCGGCCAGGGCGCACCTAGACCGGCTGGGATTAGGGGCCATAAATCTCCAATATTAAACCAGTAGGAAATTGGCAACCGGAGGCAGGCAAAGCCATCACCAAATATATTAAAAATAAAAAAAAAAGAAGGGGGGGAAATCCCATTTTAACCCTTTGCTCCAGTGAGGATTCAGCCTTTCCCACTCCTGGGGTGCATTAGGAGGAGTGTGGGCAGCAGATTGAGGGACGTTCTCCTCCCCCTCTACACTTCCCTAGTGAGGCCCCATCTGCAGTGCTGTGTCCAGTTCTGGGCTCCCCAGTTCAGGAAAGATGAGGAGCTACTGGAGAGAGTCCAGTGGAGGGCTACGAGGATGAGGAGGGGACTGGAGCATCTCTCCTACGAGGAGAGGCTGAGGGAGCTGGGCTTGTTCAGCCTGGAGAAGAGAAGGCTGCGAGGGGACCTTAGAAATGATGATAAATATCTGCAGGGTGGGGGTCAGGAGGACGGGGCCAGACTCTTTCCAGTGGTGCCCAGCGACAGGACAAGGGGCAACGGGCACAAACTGAAGCTGAGGAAGCTGCAGCTGAAGATGAGGAAGAACTTCTTCCCTCTGAGGATGACGGAGCCCTGGCCCA